TTAGATAGTTCTGCCGCCCCATTAGATATTATATATATTAGTGACCTTACAAAGGTAGGAGTTACTCTAATACCCCTACTTAAAATAAAAGACAAATAAATAAAAAATAAACAAGGCCCATCTGACCCAACTGTAATAAAAGGAAATAAATAATAAAATAAGTGTGGGGCTGGAACCACACACACTAAGGGCTATTAACTATCTCTACAGAAGAAAATGAAGAAAAATTCAGATAGAATAAATTTGAGGAATTTTGACATTGGTGTATGGTACAATCTACAATCTACAATGACATGACATCATCAGGTTGGGTTTTGTGTTATCAATGAGTTAGAACCAGGTGTCGTTAGAGGGAGGTTACAACTGGTAGATAGGAAGGGGTAAAAAGTATATTATTTGTTAAGACCAAGAGCTGTGGCAAACCAAGGCCCATACATGGGACAACCAGCCTACATATCAGATTTACAAGAAAAGGAAGAAGCCACATCAGCAAGAGGTTAATCCAAGTGGGCAGACTGTTAAAACAAAGTAACAGTCCTACAACAAACTGTGTAACAAACTGTAACAGTCTTGTAACAAACTGTAAACAACTTACCGGCTATAAAGACCAGAGGAAGAAAGGATCAAACAGAACAATTCCATTCGAACATCCATCTCTCTCTCTCTCTGTCTCTCTGTCTCTCTCCCGGTTCCCCATCCGTTTTCCCCCTTACCTTAGGAGTTTGGTTCACTCAACGAACCCTGAGTTAGGCAGCACCTAATAGTTTGGAATCAGAGCTATGACAAATACTCAAGCTATAGCCATGGAGGCACGGGTTGATCAGGTGGAGGTTGAGCTTCACTGAGTCTCAGGCGATGTGCGAGGAATCAATGATACACTAACATAGATCTTGCAAAGGCTAGAACAGAACCCACTGGTTGAAGACAGAGAAATCGACCAAGATAGGGTTAGCCAAGGGAGTAACCGAAGAAGCAGCTCCACCTTGGAAAGAAACACCAAACTGAGCTTTCCGGTCTTCTCAGGAGGAGACACCATCCCTTGGATATATAGGGTGGAAAAATTCTTTGAGTACAATGAAATGTCCGGACCAGATAGGGTGGCGTTGGTAGCAATGCATCTGGATGGAGATGTGATCCTCTGGTATCAGTGGTATCGTCGAGGGCACCCTTGTATTTCATGGCTCGACTTTACTGATGTCCTATGTATCTGATTTGGGGCTTCCGGTTATGAAGATTTTGATGAGAGTCTTGCGAAGATAAAGCAAGTAGGAAGCGTTTGTGACTACCAATTGGAGTTTTAACGTCTATCGTTAAGAATCCAAGGGTGGCCGGAGAAGGCACTTGTTGGAGCTTTTGTGGGAGGACTCAAGGAAGAAATACAGCTAGAGGTCAAGGTGATGCATCCATCAACTGTGATGGCCGCGACAGCCTTGCCCGCACCCAAGAAGAAAAGATAGCTTAAACCCGACGTCTGAACCACCCATGGCAGCAGACGAACAAATCTTTTATGGCACCCAGACCGGAAGGGACGAGAGCCAATAAAGAAGGCAGCATCTTAGGCAAACCACCAAGTAACTTAGGCCCAAGTCCCGTTATTCCATTCAAGAAACTAACGTGGGCAGAGATGCATTATCGCCGAGACAAAGGTCCTTGCTACAATTGCGAAGAGAAGTTCGGCCCCGACCATAGATGCAAGTCTCAACAAACCTTCTTATTACAAATTGAGGATGAAGAAGAGGATCGACAATCGGAAGAAGGATCGCCTGTTGGCAAACACTGGGCTGAGACCATACAACCAGAAATCTCGTTATAGRCCCTAGCTGGGTTTTCATCACCCCAAACCATGAGGGTGATGAGTCTAGTTCGGGGTTGCCAAGTGTCTATCCTCATCGAGAGTGGTAGCACCTTAAACTTTGTAACCACAGTTCTAGTCAAACGATTGGGATTACTAGTTCAGCCCACAACCTCTTTTAAGGTCCATGTGGCAAATGGGACCTCACTCCAATGCGATGGAATTTGCACAAATATTGGGTTACACATCCAAGGGCAACAATTTGTGGTTGATCTTTACCCACTGGAGTTAAGTGGGGCTGATATTGTATTGGGAACTCAATGGTTGCAGCAACTTGGACCTGTTCTATGCGACTGGGATTTCACGATAGAAGGAACCGGTGATTTAAGAGGCATGCCTAGGCACACAGGCGAGGCGCATTTCAGGGTATGCGCACGCCTGGTGCGCCCAGGTGTGCGCCTTTTGAAAACTTGGAGCTTTTTTTTTTTTTTTGAACATAACGGCTGGGTTGGGAACCCCAATTTGGTAAAGTTGTTCATTCATTCATCCTAATAAAATGTTTTCTTAAAAAGCAATTAAAACTATAAAATCATTATTTTTTGTGTGAACACTAAGAATTTAAGACCTAATGTGGACTTGTTTGGGCTTGCCTCAAGGGGCATGGCACAAAGGCGGCTCGTAGAATTAGGAATGTAATATTTTTTACATTACATTACCTACCATAGTTTTCAAGGTGTCTAGGTGATTCTGGGCAACATTGGGGCGCCTAATCACCTAGTTGGCTAGGCGTCGCCTAGGCGATAAAAGTTTTATAATATAAAAAACTGACTTTTGGCTAGTTTCCTAGTTTTATATACCATTCAGCATGTATGTTAATTGAA